AGAGGGGATTTGTTCCCTGCTTAAGATTCTGTGATGGTTATTTTGCTCACTCTGTCCATGACCAGCAATGACACCCCCTCAATACCTCCCTTCAGCCAGTGGACAGGGTGTCAGTCAGGATTGTCCACAACAGACTAACCATGGAAGGTTCGCTCTAGGAATTCAACATAAAGAAATTGAAATCGAAAGCAAAAGCTATTAAATATTAACCTCTTGTTACTCCAGCTCCTCCGGAAGTCTGGGAAAACGTAGCCCAGTGGTTATGTCAAAGCATAGCTTAATCTGGCCTCCCCAGCAGTCTCGGGGAGGGGGGATTCTTTCTCTGGCCTCATGTGGCGGGGAAGAATGATTCATGCCTGGGAAGTCTGAGGGAGCTAGGGCTGGATTCATAAAGAGGATTTCAGTGCCTAACTGCCTCTTTAAGTGCCTGGTCAGCTGCTGCCTCGCCCTTTAGGCACCTCGAATCGCTGAGATGGCTGCACTTCCCCCGGTGACATGTGCACAGTCTGATACTGCCCCATAGCTAACTAGCGTCCTAGCTCATGTCTGAGCCCAGGTGGGATTCCAGTGCCCGTGGGTGTGCTCAGAGCATGGCTCCTGGATTGGGCCTGGCACAAAACACAGCTGTGGGTGTAGCCAACAGCCCACTGGTTTGGCCACCCACCTGGGATGTGGGAGACGTAGGTTTGAGTCCTTACTGGGCCCGATTTGGGGCATGCTGTGTTGGTCGCAGGATATCAGAGAGATAAAGGGGAGCGGGAGGTAATACAAAAATCTATTGGGCCGACTCCTGTTGGTGAGACAGACAAGGTTTTGAACTACACCGAGCTCTTCCTCGGGGTGTGGAGCAGCACTTGAGCCTGACTCTCCTGTGGCTGAGTCCGCTGATGACTCTAGCTCTGGGCTAGCCTGCTACACCCAACAGTGTGGCTGTTGTGGCCCCCATGGCTGCTCAGGCTCTCTAGCCCACCCGAGCTTGGGGTCGGGTGGTTTGAATTCAGGGGGTCAGCCTGAGCCTGTGCCAGAGCCGCAATGCGCCAGCTCCAGCCCTGCCAGCCCGGCTGCTGTGTCCCCCGGCAGACGCACCCCCAGAGACCAGTGCTACTTGCAAGCTGAAGCAAGGGGGACTGTCTGAGGGGTGTTGCTGTCTCACTGGGCCGTTGGAGTGGTATGAAGGAAGGAACGTGTCCTCCTCCCTGCAGGTTCACAGCACGGTCATTAACGCTGACATGGTGACTCTTGGAGGAAGGTGTGGAGGGAAACACCCGCTGACTTCGATAAGCACAGGGTTTCTAGTACCCCAGGGCCAGATTTTCATAGGTAGTTAGGCCTTGTAGGTTCTGTCTACACTGCAATAAGGCGCCTGCAGCTGACCCTGTTGGCTGGCTTCAGCTCTTGGGGCTTGGGCTGCGGGGCTGGTTAATTGTGAGGGATGGCTGGGGGGGAGGAGATGGGGAGCGAGGGGTGTCTGGGGGGGGAGGAGATGGGGGGGTGAGAGGTGTCTTGGGGGGATGGGGAGTGAGGGCCGGGGGGGAGGAGATGGGGAGCAAGGGGTGGCTGGGGGGGAAGGGATGGCTGGGGGGAGGGCATGGGGAGCGAGGGTTGTCAGGAGGAGGGGAAACGGCAGGTGAGGTCCATGGATGTTACAGGCCGCACAGCTGCCCTTGGCAGGGGCAGCCCAAGGTGCCTGGCTCCTTAGGGTCAGGTTCTCCCTTTCTTGGGGGTTGTTTCACACCCACCTGCCCAGTGCCCGGAGAGCTGGGATCACAGAGGCGGCTCTGGCCCCCAGTGATCCACCCTCTCCTCACCCAGGTCTCTGTGCTGTGAGGGGTGCCTGGAGGCAGGGCGCCGGCTCTGCCCACACACCTCTAGTAGGGATGGGCCCAGCGAGCCTTTTCAGTCTGTGGCTGGCGCAGGCTCGCTGAGCGCATGAGTTGGCCTGTTCATGGTGAGAGCGACTCCCCATTTCCCTGGTTCTGCGGGAGGCTGTGGCTCCCTGGAGAAAGCGCCCCAAATCTGGCTGTCAGGTGTGGGGAGTGGTGCAACGCAGCCTCCTGCCCGGGCTGGGGAGTCCAGCTGGCCCCAGAGCGTCAGAGGGTGGCAGGAAATTGGCTGCTTTAGAAGCTGTGCATTGTCCTGGAGGCCCACAGAGGGAAGCAGGGCGCACAGGGCAGCAGGCTCCAGGCTGGGGAACAGGTTGCCGTGCCCTGTCTGTGTGGGCTGCCCTCTCATGCCCAGCACAGCGCTGCGCTGTGGCACTTAGTGGGAAAGCCCCCGGGGGCCTGGGCCGCGTTCTCAGTACAGCTGGAGTTCCTTGGCAGGGCTTTCTGGCTGCTCCTGTTTGTACTGAACATTACTTCCCTCCCACCTCTCCAGTGTTTGTTATCAAGAAACTGAAAATGCGGAAGGGAGTAATGCTAAATATAGACAGGAGCGGCCAGAAAGCCCTGCCCAGGGCTGAGTCCCAGAAGTGTCACTGCTGGGACCTGGGGCACGTTTGGGGTGACGGTGACTGACAAGGGGAGGTGGGGAAATGGGTGCACACTCTGTTTTAGGGTTTAAAGGGGGGGAAGTTTCAGCCAAAGGGGGGATTCTGCTTGTTTTTACATTGGGAGTTCAGGTCTCACCCCCTGGTAGACTCCAGGGCTGACTGAGAGCTGGAAGGCTTATGAAATCCGAGACACTAAGCAAGCACAGCTAAGCGGTGGAGAGAGAGGGAGCTTTAGGCCTAATATTTGAAACACTTTGAACTGAATTTGGTTTTGTTATTGCCTGTTTAATTCAAGTGCCTGAATAAACAGTGTGAAGGAAAGCTCTGTTCAGCACTCAGCACCCAGCCCTTTCCAAAAGGCTAAAGAAGTCCCGGTTCACTTCCCTGTGTCTTCCAACTAGACCTCCAGCAAAACCATGGGAACAGGAGACTTGAGACCTAAACAGGGAGAATGTCCCATGCCCAGAATAGTCAGGCTCCCGCCTCTGCCCCCCTGGTCCAGGCCTAGCACTGCAGGGCCTGGGGCAGTGCTGGGGGCCAGGTGCGCGGGCTCGTCCTCCAATTGGCTCACCTCTCCTTTTCTGCTCTTGGCTGCTGGATGGAGTTGGGCTTATTTTGCAATTTCTGTTTTAGCAATGTTGTTAATTTTATTTTGTAGCCCCGCCCCGCACTAGCTGTCCTTTGACAGGCCTCACGCCCAGTGGAAGGGTGAGGGGGGGAAGGCAGTGGGTGTCCCAGCTCTCACTTGGAACACACGGGGTCTCCATGTCCGAGGGCTTAGCTAGACGAGGCAAACAGCTCGAGTCCCAGGAGCATCTCAGGCTCTGCCCCAAAGAAAATCTTGTGGTGGTGAAGCCAGTGGTGTGTATGTTCTCACTCATCCAGGGGTTTATTATAGAATCTCTCACTAGAGGGTGAGTGTTAGGAGGAAAATAACCCTAGGCCCTAGGGAATGGGGACAAATTGAGAATTAGTGGGGATCCCCTGTGGCTGTGAGGTGCTGCAGAAACTCTGAAAATTCACCGTATGTTTGTGTTTGTTTTTAGCTCTTTCGCTGGCCACATTATGGGAAGCTCATTATGGAAGAGATGCTGCTAGTTAAAGTTTACAACTGCAGTAAAGTTTTCAGTAACAGGTAGGTTCTTGTAGGCATAAGGATAAACTGGATGACCTGGGTAACTAGAGGCTGGTTCACCTGACATTGAGCCTGGGCAAAATCATGCAAAACCTGATATGGGATGCAATCAGGAAGGACGGAAAGGATGAGAACATAACACCAGTGAGTGTGTGTAGATTGCCGGTTTGGTTGAGAGAGGCACCCTGGCGATGTCATATACCTCGACTTCTGTAAGGCGCTGGGCTTAGTACCGCACAACGATCTGATAAAAAACTTAACATGGTACAAAATCAATGTAGCACATATTGAATGGGTTAATAATTGACTAACTGATATATCTTAAAATGCAATTGTAAATAGGGAATCATCTCCCGGAGGGGTTTCTAGAGGGATCTTGTTCTTGGCCCAATGCTATTGACTATCTTTATGATCAGGAAGAAAACATAAAATAATTGCTGGTAAAATTGGCAGATGACACAAATACTGGCAGAGTGGTATGTAATAATGGGGGCAGATCAGTTATATGGACTGATCTGGATTGCTTGGTAACCTGGGCTCATTCAAACAACACGCAGTTTATAAATCAGCCAAATATAAGATCATACATCTAGGAGCAAAGAACATAGGTCATGCTTACAGGATGGGGGACTATCTGGAAGGCAGTGACTCTGAAAAGGACTTAGGGATCATGGTGGATACTTAACAGAACATGAGTCCCCATGAGATGCTGTAACTAAAAGGGCAAATGCGATCCTTGGCTGTATAAGATGGAGAATATTGAGTAGGATCAGGGAGGTGGTAATGACCTCTATTTACAACATTTTTGGCGAGACCATTACTGGATACTGCCACAGTTCTGCTGTTCAAAAATAATGTTGACACATTGGAAAGGGCTCAGAAAAGAGCTACAAGAATAACCCGAGGCCTGGAAAAATCTGCCTTACAGTGAGAGACTTAGGAAGAGAAGGTTAAGAGATGGTGTGATCATGGTCTCTAAGTATCTGCAAAGAGACAAGATTTCTGATATCAGGGAGCTCTTTAATCTAGAAGAAAAAGGCATAACAAGATCCAGTGTCTGGAAGCTGAAGCTAGATAAATTCAGGCTAGAAATAAGGCACAAGTGTTCACCAGCAAGGGTAATTAGCCACTGGAACAGCCGACCAAGTATGCGATGGATTCTCGGTCACCTTCAGATTGGAGGTTTTTTTAAAAAAAAATCTGCTCTAGCTCAACCACAAGGCATTAGACGGCAGCAGGAACCTCTGGGGGAAGTTCTCAGGCCTGTGCTGTGCCAGAGGTCAGACTAGATCATGGCGGTCCCATCTGGCCTTAACAGCTACAGTTCCTCGTTTTGTAATGTTTGGTTCTGAGATAATCACAACATCCCTGTAATGTCTTTACCTTATCTCTTTTCACCCCATCTGCTTGTGAGCAGATGTAACACTTAGGCTATGTTTACACTACGGGGGGGGATCGATTTCAGATACGCAAATTCAGCTACAGGAATAGCGTAGCTGAATTCGATGTATCTGATCCGACTTACCCCACTGTGAGGACGGTGGCAAATCGACCACTGCGGCTCCCCCGTCGCCGGTGCTTACTCCTACCTGGGCTGGTGGAGTATGCGCATCGATTCGGGGATCGATTATCGCGTCCCGATGAGATGCGATAAATCGATCCCCGAGAGATCGATTTCTACCCGCCGATCTGTGCGGGTAGTGAAGACAAGCCCACAGTATCTTTGTTCTTTGTTCACACATATTAGTATAAGATATAAGAGTATCAAAAGTCAAACCCAAAATTCTATCTCAGGCTAACAAACAGGCCTATATACTAACAGACCTGCAGGAAATACTTTGGCAATATTATATACACAGCCATGATGTGAGTTATCAGGGTGGAGACTGTGCCGTGAGCTACCTTCTCTGCTCTGATAACTAGCTGAGACTGAAACCATAACAGAATATTTCCTCTCTGACTGTTGTTTTGTTGTAGAGTGCTTGGTACCTTAGTCATCAGCCTTCAGCACCTAGTGACATCTGGACGCCTGACCCTCAGAGAGGCCCTCGTTGACAAGAACCACAGCATCACTGGGGTAAGGCATGTGGTTACTGTAGCATTGGTTAGATGGAAAGCACCAAAGGAGAGAGCACCAGGACACCAGAAGGGTCCCAGGTGCACAGCCAACAAATGTCTGACTTATTCAAGTTTTTCCTGCTCTCCCATACTCTGATTTCCTCATATCAGAAAATATCCAGCAACTCTGTGTAACTTGGTTAAGGCCTCATCCTGTCAGAGATCAAGAACAGTTTAGACAAGACATTATTGGGAATGAAGTAGTGAGAAGTCCTGCAGAATGCTGGGCTTGATATGGCCTTGTGGAGTCTTTTCCAAGCCTATTGACTAGGACATTTTTCTGTGTGAATATGCACCAAATAACAGTTGTAATGAGACGTTGCTAGAGGCTACTCTACCGTGCTGTCCTTTATGATCTGAACTGAGGTCATCCCAGGCATTTCCTGTTGCTCTTGCTGACATGTGGCTTTTTTGAGGCTCATTAGTTTTCACATTGACAATCTATCATATTAGTTGATACTAAATAGGCCCGAGTGTGTGTAAATCCTTGAATTTGCTTAAAGCTGAACCATAGCCCAGGGTTATGAGCTCTTACTTGACAGCCTGGCCAAGCTGGTCAGAGGACTGGGATCTGAGTTAAGGAGAGAGAGGCAGAGCTGTGTGGAGATGAGGATGTCACTGAATCCAAGGCCAGAGGCTAGCCCCTCATCTGATGTAAGTCAACACCAGTTTATGCCAGCTGAGGACTGGCTGTTCGTTTTTAAAAATAGAAACGGGTACAAAATTGTAATAGAAAATTATTTTGATTGAAAGAATTAGAAAAGTGGGAATTCTGTCCATTTTCATTCTGGGTCTGACTGAGATAGACCATGTGTTCCGGGAGCCAGGGGGCCTCAAAGGTACTAGACGGAAGGTGAATTAGAAACAGGAGCAATTACAAAGCAAACACAGAGAGGGTTTATGAATGTGTCAGTTTCGAGCTGGGAGCGCTGCCAAGGTGTTAGCGAAGGTATTCGTTAGCGACTGGCAGGCTGGAATGTGGGCAGCCCAATCAGAGAAGTGGCTGGGGAGAAGCTGGGAGGTATCATGAATACGTTGGAGTGTGGGAGCAAATATAGAATGATGAGGCGGCAGCAGAGGCAGGCACTAGGAAGTTCTTTGAAGCACATCTCTCTGCCTGTCTGCCTGCGAGATTTGTTGGCACATTGGGAGCATTCAGAATGGTTTCCTGGGAACTAAGTAGCCTGCTAAGGCTTATGGGGATCGGTGTTGGCTTCTACGGCTCCAGGGTGGGCTGAGCCCCCAGCAAGCCTCAGGCTCAGGGGTGTGGTGGTGGCCCCCACTGAGCCTCCATACTACATGGAATCTCAGCTTCCCAGCAGCCTTTGGGCTTCCTGGCAGGAGCGCCGCCAGCTTTTCCCGCCGCCGAAATACCGCCGCGGTCACCGCCCCCCAAATTGTAGTGCCCTAGGCGACTGCCTAGGTCGCCTAAGGGGTTGCGCCGGCCCTGCATCCTGGACTAAGCTCACCACAGTGGAAAATGTTAACACAATTTGTAATTTTGCATTCGTTAGCTACGTTTTGGGGCTGGCCCTGGATCTGAGGGAGGGGACCCAGAGAAGGACCCCAGTGGTTGGATTTCTCTCCTCCTTCCTGCTTTTTTTGTTACAAATGATAAAATAAAGAAGTTACAGTGCTGGAACTGCATTTAACATGGTGTTTTGGAGCCCTTATCTATGAACCCCTTGTCCAATTCACTTCTAGCTTAGCAGGGAGATTCTACCTCAGTCCCAGGGCTAACATAACAATTTGGAGGCCGATATAACTTTTTGGGTCAATTGTGGTTGCGTTGTGGAGTAAAATAGCACTTAGATTGGAAACCCCATTGTGGAACACCAGCTGCCACTCCACAACACACAGTGCTGCAGAGGAGCAGGATTTCCCCCACTGAAGTTAAAAGCTACGTTACGCTCACATGTCTTGAGATTAGCTCATTTCATTTTTCATTCAATCCTGACTGGCAGGTCCCCTCAGCCGGTGCTAAACAGTTACTCTGGACTTGGGAAAGGCCTATTGCATAAAGGTGGGAAATCTCTCCTTGTACTTGCTGTATGGCAAACTAGATTGTCATGACTCAGGGGAAAATACCTGCTGAGATGGTGTGCGAGATGATTCTGAGCCCCGGGCAAGTGAACAGCTATCGGAGTGATGTTCTCTCAAAACAGAACAGCCACAGCCTGCTCGCCTCTAGGCGGAGCAACCTGGAGTGTGCCCCCCCCTGTTTGATCACATAGTACATCACAGTCGTATTGTCGGTGAATATGTGAACCACTGAGTCTCTGATATGGTCCTGAAAAGCGCAGCATGCTCTGGAGATGGCCCGAAGCTCCAGCTCGTTGATATGGAATGAGACCGTCCTGAGCCATATTTGAAGGGGGCGAAAGCGCAAGCTTGGAAACTGGACCACCTGCAGGCAAGTGGACACGTAGCCCAAGAGCCTCCGACACGTCCAAACTGTCGTGGCAGGCTGAGACTACAGACTGAGGCAAAGCTGGTGAATGGCATGCGGCCCATCAGGGTAAGCTGATTGTGGGCTGCGAGGCATTGACTGTCCGCAGGCACAGCCCCACGCAGCTCCCAGTGGCCGCGGTTCACTGTTCCCAGCCAATGGGAGCTGCAGGGGACCATACCTGTGGACGGTCAATGTCCACAAAATGTCTCACAGCCCGCAATCAGTTTACCTTGATGGGCCGCCCGGGGCCACAAGTTTCCCACCACTGCGGTACTGGGAGCAGCAACGACTGGAACAGTGCTCTGGACCAAGGAGTCAAAATGGACGCTTGGAGGGCGCCAGGGGCGTGTGTGTGGACTGTCCGAACCCTGAAGCTTACTGCTTTCTCCTTTGGGCTCTATCCCTCTTTCTTGGGTCGTCCCGTTGCCTCAGATGAGGATAGGGCTGAGCAAACGTGCACTGCGAACGATACTGCTGTTGTTGTTGAATGCCACCAGCGTGCACACCCCAAGGATCAGAGGGTAGCCCTGGAGTCCCTGAAGAAGTGCAGCATCTCGTCTGAAAATAGCATTTGGCTATTGAAGGACTAATCCTCAATGGCTTGTTGGACATCGGGGGCAATGTGCGAATTGTGCAGCCAGGAACCTGTCCTCACAGTGGCCAAGGTGCCCGTGATATGTAGCGTGGACTGCAAGGATGTCTTAGGGCCTGGTCTACACTGGCGGCAGTAGAGTACAGGAGTCAACGGGAGAGTGCTCGGGGGTCGATTTATCGTGTCTAGACTAGATGCGATAAATCAACCCCTGCTGGATCGATTGCGGCCAGCCGATCGGGTGGGTAGTATAGACATACCCTAGCCACCAAGCAGGCCTCAGTGACAAATGCCTGAAATTCCTCTTGGGAGGCCTTGGCCAGCTGGACTGCGAACTTTGACACAGCTCGGCAAGTGATGAAATAGTGCTGGGACAGTGAGACTTGCTGGTTAGCAATTCGCATCTGTAAGGAAGAGGAGGTGTAAATCTTCTGCCTATGAGGTCCAATCATTTAAAGTCCCTGTCCTTGGAGGTGGACTTGACCCTGCCCTGCTGGGTTATGTTATTCATCGCAGTTACGACTAGGGAATTTGGGGCCAGATGGAAATAAAACCTAGGGAATGAAATAGTGCTTCTGCATGTGCTTAGCCACAAACAGTTCTGAAGCCAGTGCGCTCCAGAGGGCCTTAGTTGTTTTGAGGAGAGTATCACTGATAGGAAGGGTGACTCTCCCTGGGGCGGATGGCTGAAGGATATCCACTCATTTCTGGTTGGTATCTTGCAAGAACTCTGCTTGGATTCCAAGGGAAGCAGCTACACTGCACAAAAGATCTTGGTAGGCCTTAAAATTCTCCAGTGCCGAAGGGAAGGAAGAGCCAGCATTGTCTGGAGATGAAGACGAGGCCCTTAACTGGGCCAGAGCCGGATCCTGTTCCAGGGCTAATGGACCTGGACGGGACGACTCTGGAGGCCCCGCAGGGAGGACTGCTGGTGGCTGGCCTGCAGGACTGAGGAGTGTCCCAGGGAATCCATGGAGGCCACTGACATGGATAAGGTATTTATGGCCAGTAGGTGCTGGGCCAGTGGCCTCCATCTTGACCACAAGACATGCACCAATTCTAGTACCTGTATCGGTCCGTCAACGGCCCATGATGCTGGTCAGGTGATGGAGAGCAGGAAGATGACGACCCCAACTCAGACGCAGAGGAGTCTCGGGATTCGAGAGATAAAGGCGGAGCGAGACCACAGGGAGCGAGTCACCGCTCTGACTCCTCCATTGCCAGAAGGAGTCAGGAAGCGGCACTGCTGATGGAAGCAGTACCATTGGTACTGAGCAGGCTGGTGCCGGAAGCGGTGTCGGTGCCAAAGTGAGTAGCAGCACTGGAGTGCCTGACGGTACTGACGCTGAGGCCAGTGAAAGTCGCCATGGAAGCTTTTGCAGTGTCAACTGCAGCAGTGATGCAGAGGTTCCCGGTACCGAGGTCCCCCATACTGATCCTGGTACTGGCCCTGCCTCCACAGCCTGTTAAAGGGGAAGATTGGGGTGTGGTGCCAACAAGTGCTCAGCAGCTCAGTCAGTCGATGGGGCTATAGATCAGTGGATACCTCTGGGGTACACAGAGGTCTTCCAGGGGATACATCAACTCATCTAGATATTTTCCTACTTTTATAATAAGCTACATAAAAAGCACTAGCAAAGTCAGTACAAACTAAGATTTCATACAGACAAAATGAAAAAGTAAGCAATTTTTCAGTGATAGTGTGCTGTGACACTTTTGTATTTCTCTTTCTGATTTTGTAAGCAAGTAATTTTGAAGTGAGGTGAAACCAAAGGAGAGGTCAGGACTGAAAGGCAGAGCAGGTCTGTAGCTGCCTGATACCTGCTGATGTGGAAACAGTACTGGCATCTCTGTCCTTGGTACTGGTCTCAATGGACATCCAGAGGCTGGAACCGGAGTCATGGTACAGAGTTTC